GTAGTAGTAGTAGTCTTTCGCTTCCAATCTTCTTCTCCTTCTTCTTTCCTTCTTTCCTCTCTTCCTCCCCCTTTTTTCTTCTTCTTCCTCCTCCTCTTCTTTTTCCTTCTTTCTCTTCCTTTCTCTCCGATCCCTTTCACGATTTCACAATTTCATCTTTGTTCTTTCTATTTCACTCTCTTTCTCACTCTCTCTCTCTCTCTCTCTCCGTTTGTCGTCGCACAGAAACGAATCTGCACAGGATCCTGTCGATCGGATTTTACAAGAACGAAGTTTTGTTGTTGCGGTTAAATATCCTCGAGAGTTATCCACGATTCTGTCCTTCTTCCTCTTCCTCTTCTTCTTTTTCCTCCTCCTCTTCTCTGGGCTTCGAATAATAATAATAATAACAACAATAACAGGAACAATAACAATAACAACAACAACAACAACAACAATAACAACAAAGACGACGACAACGACGAGGATATAACGAAGGTGGTTCGATATAACGGCGGAGAGGAGGCAGGCTCTCGTCCGAAGAAGCACGTGCGTGGACGAAAGCACGTGCGGATGAGCACGTGTCCGGTGTTTTCGTTCGGCAAGAACGCGCACTCGGATCGCGCTGATAACGAAGCGACCGACGACGTGCGCTTTGCCAACCGATGCGCCCGAGATAGTGTGTTGTCGTCGTGTAATAATAATCACAGAGGGAAATATTCACGGCGTGAAAAACGGTGTGAGACGAGCTATCGGTGTCGACGTACTCCTCCCATTGGATGTTGGAACCCGGAACAGAGGAGGCGATCACAGGCCACGTGGCCTTCGCGACGATTAACGCTCGCGAAACGTATACCGCGTAACGTAACGTGTAACGTACGAAGAAACGAACGAGCGAGCGAGCGAACGACCACGACCACGACAATGAGGATCGGTGTAACGACGGCAACGGATCGCCACGACAAACGCGATAAAAACGTCGCGTTGACAAGTAGTCGGCCGCGATTGGCTTTCACGAATTTTTGTTTTCTCACTCGCTTGTGAACAACGCGCACACGCGGGCGAGCGGCGTGCGCGGCCGGGGTATACACACACACACACACACGCGCACGCGCACACTTCTTCTTCTATTTGCACAGAAGCGACCACCACACGTGTGTATTCGCGATCGGCCAACGATATATGTTTTTCGCGCGCGATCTCTCTCTCTTTTTCTCGCGCTCGGCCGGAGGAGGACTTCTTCAGGGAGAGAGGGTCTCTTCCGGTCTCCGCGGTGTGTCTCACTGCTCCTCGCTCCGTCGTAACTTTTGCGCAAACCCGGGACCCTCTCTTACTCTTTTACCTCTCTCTCTCTCTCTTTCTCCTTCCTCCTTTTCTCTTTCCCTCTTTCTCTCCCTCCCTCTCTATCTCTATCTCTACCGCTCTGTCCTCGTCCAGCCTATGGCAGTTTCTCTCTTTCTCTATTTCGCTGTCTCTCTCTCTCTTCCTCTGCTTGGTCCTAGGTAAACGCGGAGAGAGGTAGAGACTCTGGGCAGTCGACGAGAGATGGTAGTGGTGGTAGTGGTAGTGGTGGTGGTGGTGGTGGTGGTGGTGGCGGCGGCAGTAGTAGTGACGATGGTGGTGGTTGATGCGATTCGCCGATTGTGATGGTGGTGGTAGTGCACGAATACCGGTCGAAACGCGCGTATATACTATTCACCGATCGGAACGTGGCAGGACGGTGACAGTGACGATAATGGTAACGGTGGTAGTGGTGACTCTCCACGATGACGACGACGACGACGACGACGACGACGACGACGACGACGACGACGACGACGATGGTTGCGGCGATGGTGGTGGTGGTGGTTGGTGGTGGTGGTGGTGGTGGTGGTGGTGGTGGTGGTAGTGGTGGTGGTGATGGTGGTGGTGATGGTAGAGAAGAGGCCAGGTGGGCCCCGTGGCTTAGAGGCGAGGCCAGAAAGGGTTGAGGGTCCGAAAAGCACGGTTCTCTCTCTCTCGAGAACTGGCGGCGGAATACTCACGCTAGAGAGGAGACCTCGCGAGCCTCGTGAGTTGGTTTGTAAAGGGACCGTAGTATTGGTTCCTCGTCGAGTGGCACCTCTCTTCTCTTCTCTCTTCCTCTCTTACTCGCTCTCCCTCTACCTATCTCTTTCCTGCGCTTACTCTTTCCTCCCACCATATCGCCCCTCCACCTACCTACCACACCACCTTCCTCCACTCTCCCTTTCCCCACTGGTGCTCTCACTATTACATTACAAATAGCTCTCTTGCCTAGGCCACGTTTGTGAGGTGTTGCTCCTTCCGTGTACGTTTATATATTCGCTTCCACTTGCGTGTTGTGTGTGTGTGCGTGTGTATGCGTGTATGCGTGCGTGCGCGGTTACAAACGCGCCTCGATTCACGTGTGGAGCCTGTGTTTGTATTCCACGATGCACATGCACCAACTGTCGTACGATAAGAGTATACACACTTTGTCTCTATCTTCTTTTCCTCCGTCTTTTTCTTCTCTTTCCCTCCC